TAGTTACAAAGAAGGGTATAACCCTAATAACCATGAAGCTTTATATAACATGAGGGTGTTTCACTGAAGAGCTTATCTCCACTTTGTTCAAAATATTATACCAGATATTAATTACATGAAACCTAGTAAGCTATTTGCATTAAAGTTCGTTTTATTTTAGCACACTGTACTCTATGTGATACTGTATGTCAATCATGTCATAGTTCATCTGATCTAGATATGTGATATGGCTGTGGATGAGTTCCTGGACCTACTTAGTTAAACTCAGAATCTTTAGAGCCACAATCTCAGGTGTTCTATGGGGGAAAAGGGGGAGAGATGCTTATCTCTATCCCCAAATTTACTGAGAGGAATAGACAAGGATTGCAGAGCACCCAAAATCTTTCAACCATTTTCTGTGACACTGCCCTTATGGGTTTGTGTCATGGGACTCTGAGAAACATGGAATAAATGATAAAGCTTTCTGTTTTATCAACCCCATGGCATGAAAGTAGACTGCTGGTGTTTGTGAGAAGTGAGAACAAGTAGAGGTTATCTGTGTGGAAGGAGCACCCCCCCAACCCTTTACCGGGGATGGAACTCATGACCTTGCATTTGCAATGCAAGCCCAGCACCACTGAGGTAAATCCCTACCCCCCCTGCCCCTTTTGTGAGACATGGTCTTGGTCTGTAGTTCAGGCTATCCTTGAGTTCACTATGTAGCCCAGGTTGGCCTCGAACTCCAAGTAATCCTCCTGCCTCAGACTCTGGAGTGCTGGGATACAGGCATGTGCCACCACCCCAGCTTGTGGAAAGAAATCGCTGAAGAAGGGAAATTTTAAAAAAGAGATGAGTATCTATCCTATCTATCCACATGACAGAGAATTTGGACCTAATCCACTGAGTTAAAATCTGAATCAAAGCTGGGTGTGGTGGCACACACCTGCCAGCACTAGGGAGGCTGAGGCAGGGCGATTGCCATGTGTTTGAAGCCAGCCTGGACTACATCAGTGAGTTTAAGGCCAGCCTGAACTACATAATGAGACCCTGACTCCAATCAATCAAATCAATCTGCATTTAAAAATGTATTAAAGAACACAATTTTTTCCATTAGGCTTTAATTATTTGAAATCATTCTCTATTTTGTTCACAACTTACACCACATGTGCTGCCATATGAATACAGGATTTATCATGATTCCACAATAAATCATTTCACCAGAGCAATTATTTACTATTCCACAAAAATATTCATCCACCTATCTGCTTTTTTTTTTTTTGGTACCAGGGATCGAACTCAGGTCCTTGCGCTTTCGAGGCAGGCAGCGGAACCACTGAGCTAAATCCCTGGCCCCACCTATCTGCTTTTTAAACCAGTTTATTACAAAGTCACTTATTATATAAAAGTAAATGCTATTTTATTTTAAACATGTTTTACATAACTTTGGTATATTCACTGAGTTGTACAGCTATCACCACAATCTAATTTCTGATCACTGATCACCTCAAAAGAAACCTTTAGGGCCCGGGGATTTAGCTCAGTGGTTGCTCCACCTGCCTCAAAAGCACAAGGTTCCAAGTTTGATCCCCCAGCACCAAAAAATAAAAACAAAAAACCACCACAAAAAAACCCCTCTAGCTAGGTGTGGTGGCACACACCTGTCATCCCAGCACTCAGGAGGCTGGGGCAAGAGGATTGCTTCAGGTTCAAGGCCAGCCTGGGCAACCCAGTGACTTAGAGAGACCATGTCTCAAAAGAAAAAGGAAGGGAGAAGGGAAGAAGAAGAAAAAAAAAAGGAAAGAAAAGAGAGAAGAAAACAAACCAGCCCTGTAAGTATCAACAGGCACTTTCCACTTTCCATCCTTATAGCACCCCATCCCTAAGCAACTCCATCCATCTACTTTTTGCCTATATGGTTTGCGCTTTTCTGATATTTCACATTTTTTTTGTTGTTGTTGTTTTTTTGGTACTGGGGATCGAACTCGGGTCCTTGCGCTTGCGAGGGAGGCGATGGAACCACTGGGCTAAATCCCCGGCCCTAATATTTCCTGTAAATGAAATTATACAATGTATGAACTTGTGTTTGGTTTCATTTAGTAGAATACTTTCAACGTTTGTCCATGCTATAGCATTTATCAATACTTTGTTCTAGCCGGGTGTGGTGGCACACTCCTGTTATCCCAGCACTCAGGAGGCTGAGCCAGGAGGATCACTGAGAGTTTGAGGCCAACCTGGGGTACATAGTGAGTTCAAGGCTGGCTTGCACTACAAAGTGAGACTCTGTCTCAAAAAAATAAAATAAAATAAAATGTTTTGTTCTTTTCTAATAAATAATATTTCACGGCATGGATATACCACTTTTTTTTTGTACCGGGGATCAAACTTGGG